ATCACAGACAAAATATGAACACCAAAGTCATGCCCCCATAGATCTACCTCCTCCAACTACATCCTACCTAGCTACAGTTACCACCCATTTAATACCTATCAGGGGACTCATTCACTGATTAGGTTAAAACTTATAAACCAATCATATCACTTCTAAACTTTTTCATATTATGTCACACATGAGCTTTTTGGGAACCCCTCATGTCTAAACCATAACAATAGTCAAGATCATATTTTGATGTCTCTCTTTCTTTCCTTTCTCTGCCCCCCTTTCTGACCCAGGTTGCTTACGTAGCTTTTATTAGAAGTCCACATTGTGATCAAGTGGCTCCATGACAGTCTCCAGAACCCTCATCAAGGGGGAATCCAGTAGAAATACCTGCATATGTCGGGAACCCCAAAGGAATGAATACTAAAATAGTCTGTGCAAAAACTCACCAAGAAAAAAAATACACCCAAGTGGAATGTAATAATATGAAAACTATTCTTGGTCCCTTGGTTCTTGTTATGGTTTAGATATGAAGTGTCCCTCAAAAGCTCATGGGTGAGACAATGCAAGAAAATTTAGAGGTGAAATGATTGGGTTATGGGAGTCTAAACCTAATCAGTGCATTAATGCACATGAATGTATTAATTGGGTGGTAACTGCACACAAATAGGATGAGGCTAGAGGAGGTGGGTCACTGGGGCTTGTCTTTGGGGTATATAGTTTGGGGTATATAATTTGTCCTTGGTTTAGTGGAGCTCTCTCTCTGCTCCCTGGTGCTGTGTCCTGAGCTGATTTCCCCTGTCACACCCTTCTGCCATGTTATTTTGCCTCACCTCAGCCCCAGAGCAATGGAGTTGGCCATCTAAGGACTGAAGCCTCTGAAACCATGAACCCCAAATAAACTTGTCCATCTCAATAATGTTATTGATACTTCTTTTGGCCACAGTGAAAAAGCTGACTAAAACCATACCAAAGAGTACAAATAAAAGTACCCTTACCTTGATAATTCAGAGATGTAAACTCTCCCTCAATGAGATTGAAGTCATTAAATGGGTAAAACTTGGTAAAACTTAGTATTTTAAAGATAAAGCCAAAACTGATTGACTGCCATAAAGGATATTAAGGTTTAAGAAAAAGTGTCAAATACAACTTTTAGTTTTTGAGATTTTGTGTTCTTATTACAGAAGGAATATAATTTGGTTTTAATTTTTCATCTTTTTTGGCAATTTAAATGGATTGCTTATGTTTTTGACATTTATGTTTCAAATCTCTAACGTTATTTTGTGTTTATTTTACATTCCTTTCTTTATACTTGCTTCCGTTCTTTCTTTTATTATCATTTTATTGAGTATTTTTAATCATCCTAGTTTTGCTTTTATAATTTTAATCATTCTATGTCTTTTTATTTCTAATGGAAATAATTTAAACAGTAGTGCCTATCAT